CTTCTTCACTGCCTAATACTTGCCTCCCCGCCCCCTCAGTCACCCTTAAATTATACCAGCATGAGCTTGAAAAGATGCGGGAGCTAAATGTCTTTCATTCTTGAGGAGAGGAGAGGAGAGGAGAGGAGATTTCAGTTGGAAGGGACCTACAACAATCATCTAGTCCAACTGCCTGACTACTTTAGGGCTGACCAAAAGTTAAAGCATGTTATTAAGAGCACTGTCAAAATATCTCTTAAACACTGACAGGCTTGGGGCATTGACCACCACTCTAGGAAGCCTGTTCCAGTGTTTGACCACCCTCTCAGTACAGAAATGCTTCCTAATGTCCAGTGTGAACATGGACATTAAAGAAAAGTAGTTGTGCTTTGGATCAGCAGTGAAACCGGGAGTGCTGGCAAGTCCCAAACTACATGCCATCATCTTTCACAGACCTTTACTGAAAAGGCGTGGAGTTTCTACTAGTACTCCAGACAACACCTACATAAATAATCAATCAGCCTCACAGCTGAAAATGCATCAGAAAAACATTCAGGAAGTCAATTTTTGGACAGTGCTGTCCTATACTAGTGTCACAGATCCCTGACTTCTACTTAAAGATGTTTGACTTTTTATTTCATCTTCATGCTCTTCTGCTAACTTCCTACTTCATTATCGACATTCATGGCTCAAGTTTTTTGGCACAAGGACTAGTTTTTACTATGTCATATTAAATCTGGTTGAAACTCAGTTTTGTTTTCATGCCTTATTGTAACAAAAGTAAATACATCCAAATTCAACAGAATTTGTTTTATAATTAAGATTTTGAAATGCCATTTCAGAATCACACAGGGATATTTCACGCTTACATAGATTACATGGTTATAGACCAATTACAATTCAAAATGTTAAATCTCACTGACCCTATTACTGTGCATTACTGACATATTATTAAATAATGTAAGATTTTTTTTAAAGAATGTCTGCAAAAGGAAACTGTTTGGGGAGTGACAGCTTTGCAATAAATCCTGCAAATATTTCTGTCAGTGAATCAGTACTTCCCAATGCAAAAAAAAAAAAATTAATCAGAGTAATGAAGCAGCTTAAGTCTACAGATGCCTTTGGAGTAAACAGGTCTCAGGCTGCCTTGCACCTCCCTGTTGTCCTGGGAAGTTCAGGTAATCCCCAGCTCAGTGCACAGAGCCCAGAATGGATGGATACCAGCCAGTTCCTCTGCCACCTTTAAAAAGTACCTGCTCAATTTTTCCTTCTGATCATAATGCTCAGTCCAAGCCTGAAATGGACAACAGATAGGAAAGTTCCTTATCTGTTTCTCCACGTGTCCTTATCTGTCCTCCATGTGTTTTCTCCAGGTGTGAAGCCTACGAACTGCTCCCGTAACTTGCTGCGGCGCTGCCACCGTGTGCAGCTGCCAGCCGGCACCACGCTGCTGGGAATCTGCCTGGGTTCATTTCTCCTAGCTTCAAAACCAAGGAAAACCTTTCCAATCAGAGGGCCAAATCCTGCCAACGAGTAACTCGATCCTTAAGGCTGGATTCCTGCTGAAGCTCCCTGT